AGTTCAGTACATTTAGCTGTTTTAACATTTTCCACATTAAACAAAATAGTTATCGTCTTCTGTCTTCAGCACTTTCCGTCGATCCCGAACGTTTAGCTTTATCGTCTTCTGTCTTCAGCACTTTCCGTCCATCCCGAACGTTTAGCTTTATCGTCTTCTGTCTTCAGCATTTTCTGTCGATCCCGAACGTTTAGCTTTATCGTCTTCTGTCTTCAGCACTTTCCGTCGATCCCGAACGTTTAGCTTTATCGTCTTCTGTCTTCAGCACTTTACGTCGATCCCGAACGTTTAGCTTTATCGTCTTCTGTCTTCAGCACTTTCTGTCGATCACTAACGTTTAGCTTTATCGTCTTCTGTCTTCAGCACTTTCTGTCGATCCCAAACGTTTAGCTTTATCGTCTTCTGTCTTCAGCACTTTCTGTCGATCCCGAACGTTTAGCTTTATCGTCTTCTGTCTTCAGCACTTTCTGTCCATCCCGAACGTTTAGCTTTATCGTCTTCTGTCTTCAGCATTTTCTGTCGATCCCGAACGTTTAGCTTTATCGTCTTCTGTCTTCAGCACTTTCTGTCGATCCCGAACGTTTAGCTTTATCGTCTTCTGTCTTCAGCACTTTACGTCGATCCTGAACGTTTAGCTTTATCGTCTTCTGTCTTCAGCACTTTCTGTCGATCCCGAACGTTTAGCTTTATCGTCTTCTGTCTTCAGCACTTTCCGTCGATCCGAACGTTTAGCTTTATCGTCTTCTGTCTTCAGCACTTTCTGTCGATCCTGAACGTTTAGCTTTATCGTCTTCTGTCTTCAGCACTTTACGTCGATCCCGAACGTTTAGCTTTATCGTCTTCTGTCTTCAGCACTTTACGTCGATCCTGAACGTTTAGCTTTATCGTCTTCTGTCTTCAGCACTTTCTGTCGATCCCGAACGTTTAGCTTTATCGTCTTCTGTCTTCAGCACTTTCTGTCGATCCCGAACGTTTAGCTTTATCGTCTTCTGTCTTCAGCACTTTCTGTCGATCCCGAACGTTTAGCTTTATCGTCTTCTGTCTTCAGCACTTTCTGTCGATCCCGAACGTTTAGCTTTATCGTCTTCTGTCTTCAGCACTTTACGTCGATCCCGAACGTTTAGCTTTATCGTCTTCTGTCTTCAGCACTTTACGTCGATCCCGAACGTTTAGCTTTATCGTCTTCTGTCTTCAGCACTTTCTGTCGATCCCGAACGTTTAGCTTTATCGTCTTCTGTCTTCAGCACTTTACGTCGATCCCGAACGTTTAGCTTTATCGTCTTCTGTCTTCAGCACTTTCTGTCGATCCCGAACGTTTAGCTTTATCGTCTTCTGTCTTCAGCACTTTCTGTCGATCCCGAACGTTTAGCTTTATCGTCTTCTGTCTTCAGCACTTTCGTCGATCCCGAACGTTTAGCTTTATCGTCTTCTGTCTTCAGCACTTTCTGTCGATCCCAAACGTTTAGCTTTATCGTCTTCTGTCTTCAGCACTTTCGTCGATCCCGAACGTTTAGCTTTATCGTCTTCTGTCTTCAGCACTTTCTGTCGATCCCAAACGTTTAGCTTTATCGTCTTCTGTCTTCAGCACTTTACGTCGATCCCGAACGTTTAGCTTTATCGTTAAATGCTAAAGCCTACATCAACGTGCCATTATCCATGCGAAAAATTTTCGTAAATTGAAGATTGTCATAATGTTATCACACCCATACTCAAAGGAAATCGAAGAAAAGTGTTCTTGATCCTGCAAAACTAATTCACGCTACATACCCGGCAATTTTTGTGTTGTTTTTTGATGATACTATGATAAGTAGCGCAGCAACGTAGCTAAGTTCTGAAAAAATAATATGACCCGATTTTGTCAAAACTTTAAAAAAATAATTTGTGCATTTACTTTCGAATCTTACCCTGCTTCAATCCAGCAGGTTACCTAAGGACCGAAATACTTTTCGAACATTTGCGTTAAATTTTGTGCAATGTTATAGAAATGTCTTGTTCGAAGATAACACTGTAAGAGATGTGAAAACCATGTTGCATAAATAGTTACAGCTTCCACATCAATTTATGTTTCTTGACAGCTTTCAAAGCTCTCGTACAGTTTTGGTAAAGTTATGGATATTAAAACACAACAACAAACCATATAGGCATGTGCATCTAAAATGTACGTAAATTTTGTTTAGTGTATAGTTATAGTTATAGTTAACCGCAGGCCATTACGAAGGACAGGGTGTGCGGGCGTGGGACACACTCAAGTAATATTTTCGGCTAAATAAGGCTTGTTTAAACATGTACGTAAGCGTGAGAAAAAACTAAATCTTATTTGTGTTGAATAACCATGTGGGTGTAGTTCCTTTCAGAAGACCACGCCGTATAACCACACCCATTTTCGAAAAAATCGATTTTCAACTCTTCGACACGGCTTTTGGTTAAAGTCATACTCAAGCTTTCGTATTTCATAATTAATCTAAACTTTGGTTTCTCACTCCCAGGCGAAAACAAAATGCCTTTGTTTCTTTCTTTCGCTTATTTCTTATTTGAAATCATAGTTATTACTGTTTAGTTTAAGTGTGTTTTTTTAATCTAAGAAAGTTTTATTGTTTTCATTTTGTTTTGAAATTTCATGTTTTATATAAGTAATATGTGTTTGTCTATAGTGTTGAAGATATATTGAATGTAAATGTCATCATCTCTTACTTACACTTGCATTGAAAGTTTCCAATAATAGAAAAGTGTAAATTTTCAATCTTTATTTTGTCTTAATTTTTTTGTGCAAGCGTGGATTCGATAAGTTTCGTGATTTTACACCTTTCGGCATTTGCTTTGTTGTGTACGACTTTGATAAAGTAGGTCAGGTTAATATTTTTGTCAAGTAAAGTAATCAGTTTAATGGACGGTTAACCCCTTCAAAAAATAAAAATGTTTTAGACTTTTGATACCGAAGCGAATCCACGTTTGAAGTCCAGCATTGTAAGACTGTAGATAAAGTACTGTTTTCAAAAAATATATGTTAACAAAAATACATTTAATTGCTTGACTTGGATCGTGATCCAGCAATCTTTTCCTTAATATTTTGTTTTATGATGATCTTGGTCTTACACATGCAGCAACTAGTTATTGTTCGGAATTTGACAAGAATTTTTTTTCTGTTGTCATTGGATTACGCTCTCACACAACATTGACGAGCTACATACGATGGCCTTATTCATCTATAGAATGCATGGCACTATTTGTCACTATCACGACATACAACGATCCTTTTCATGCTATCGTATAGTACAAACAACGGCCTATATATGACTAGGCATCGACTTGATGTATTAAATCGGTGTAACGGTGGGATAGTTGTTCAAATGTGCTCAATTTTCTTGAACAAATTCATATTCATGAATACTGGAAAATTAGCCAAGAGCCAGAAAAAGCGAAAAAATGATAAGAACAATAACATCATTTACAACTTTGGAAACAAAATCAAGTAATGCACTGTCCCAAACTAAAAATACAATGTTTGTCAATTTATTTCATTGTGCTCATAAACAATACTGCAAAACATTAAATTTCAAAAACGCAAGTTAAGCCATATTATAATATCAGTGGGAATAGCATGTATATATATATATATATACATATAGATTGATCATTATGAACGAACATTAAATCCTCAATGCTTTTTTGTAAGTGATGTATCATGATTATAATTTTATCGATGTGTTGAGGCTGTCTTTCATGAAAATATAAAAATAAAGATTTTAGACCACATCATATTTAGTAATGCCCTTCTGATTTCTTTTGAAATTGATTGGGCTTTGACAAAATAACTGCTTATAGTCTTCTCAATTCTGTATACGTGTTTGTTTATGGTGTTTTATGGTGTTTATAGTTTTAATACTTCCACCTTTCTTTTTCACTTTGTTTTGTTTTTCCTATATTTGCAATAAAAGTGCACTATAATTTGAATGATTAACACAGTTTTCACCTCAATAATAAATTTCATAAGCAGTTGGTAGTGCATTTTGTTCTCTGAGTATCCACATCTGGTGTTTTGTTCATACAAGAGTGATGAAGTGCAAGTAGATATGTCATAGCAAAGCAATAAAACCAAATGAATTACATACCTATAGTGTACTTTTATGCTAGAAGCTTAAAAGCTTTTTAGAAATTAGAAAGTTATTGGATTATATTACCTTTATATCATCAATCTCATGAAAAGAAATGTAGAAAAGCTTTGAAAAGTGAAAAAACATTTCTTTAAAAAAAGCAGCAATAATGCATATGATAAATCTCCATTCTGTACTCCATAGGTAAATAAGCCAAAACTGTTTCTTAAAGCAAAAACTGTAATAATGAAGAAGTATACAGTATAGAAACTTTAAAGGTTTCATCACTGAATCTTCAATTCTTCAGTATAGTGCACTAGATATTAGTAACATTTAAATAACACTCAACTAAAACATTTTGATAAAGATATGATATAATTTAAACATTAAGTTATATAAAACCCAATGGCTTATACAGTTTGATGCTTCAAATCTGCATCGAGTCATCATCAATCTCAGTACAAATATTTCCAAAGACACAAACTTTATGGCCTTCCCATTTTATATGTTTGTGAATTGACATTTCATTAAGCATCAAAACACACACAACCTTCTTGCCATCTTTCTTTGGTTCATGAACTTTAACTTCAAAGCATACAAGGCATCATTAGTGAATCCATTGTCTCCATCCATAGAATTTGACCATGATCAAATTAAACAACTCTGGATAGGGCAGTCAATAAATCAATTATCTTTACAGCATTATAATTTTTTTAAGACTCTGCCTGGTCAATAACATCTTCCAGTCATCTTTACTCCTTGTTCTTCCCTGCACGTTGTCAGCAAATAGAACATAACAAGCTCTGCCCCAAATCATGAGTACTGTTAGGGCTGATCATTTCTTCAACAAAGAAGATCATTTCTTCAAACATCAAAGAGGAGACGGAAAACAACAACGAAGCGTTCGCAATGTTAGTCAGCAGCGCCATAAATGTCACGACAAAAGCTGGTCATACATCCCAGGAGATTAAGACTGTAGACAAACCGGAGATTGAAGATATTCCCGAGAAAATAGAAGAGAAGCCAAGAACAAACAGGTAAGAGACACTCGAAGCAAAATTAGGTCATCAAGACAAAACATTTTAAATTTTGAACATTATTAAGAGCGACCGGATCACATATATACCTCACGGATTAAGAATTCGATTATACTACGGTGCATTTTCACTGCAAAATATATTCACTTTTCTTTTCGTAGTCATTGCAATTACAGACTCTTATTCACAAATTCAGTCATTTTGTGTTGTACAAACTACAGTAAAAAACTGCAAAACTAGGGGTAAAGTAATTCTGTTTATTAATCACCATAATATGCTCTATAAGAAATGAACAAAGTGTATATATCTTTAGTTATCAGGACCCATAACTGTAGCAGAGTACATGCGAACTGTTTTATCAAATTCATCAGAGGTGCTGAGATTTTTTATTGGACAAAGTCATGCAAAGAACGTTTTCTTTGATGGTACAATTGTATTTCTTCTTAGAGTTATTACATGAGGAAAGACATTTTTGGTGAAAATGGGGATTTTACTACATCCCCTGAAATTAGTCAAATGTTTGGCGAGGTAATATTATCACCAAGGCTAGTTTTATTTGTTTATTTCCAATAAATTCTATAAACGATCCATGTTGTCTCATATTTTTATGATCAGTTGATTGGTGTCTGGTTTTATGAAAGATGGATAAATTATGGATCTCCTGAAAAGCTCAAGTTTGTGGAACTCGGTCCAGGACGTGGAACACTTGTTTCAGACATCTTAAGGGTAAAGGTTATAACACACGTTCTCTAGAGTACCTATTTTTATTTTTTTTACTCTGCTTTCTTGTAAAGGTTTTTAAAAAATTAGGTAACATATGCAAAGCTTTAAGTTTGCATTTGGTTGAGATCAGTCCAGCTATGAGAGACATGCAGAGATCTTTATTATGCAATAGAGTGTCCATTGAAGATGACCCTCAGGTAACTAATGATTGGAACTATTATATGAAGTATTTCAATCATGGTTTGTAGTTAGTATATATTTACATTTATTCTAGAGTATTTCAACACGAACTGAACAGGGCGTTCCTGTAACCTGGCATCATGTTGTACAGGATATTCCAAAAGGTTTTTTGCAGTTTCTTTTCATGATTTTTAAGCATCCAAGCATAAATATGATCCAAATATTTTAAGAGATCATTGATCGTATTGCTATTATAGTCATGGAACATAGCCCTTTACAAGAAGCTTCGGATCGGTTGAACGAATCTTGACAGTCACCGTGACTTTTGAATTGTGCCAAGATCTTTTAGAGGGGAAACAGCTGCGATTTCAACTGAGCAATCAATAGAGTAAAACTTTAATTCAGAGATAACAAAGTTTCATCATTGTGTAGTTCATATAATCATCTTTTTAACACGTTGCAAAAGTCACTATTGGGCTTTGTACAACGGCCCCGTAGACATTGACGATAGCATGAAAAATGAGCGCTTACGTAGCTGTTATTTCCTTGGAATGCTAATTTTGCAATGATTAAATTAGGTTTTTCATTTTATCTGGCTAACGAGTTCTTTGATGCCCTTCCAATCCACCAATTTAAAGTAAGTACAACATCACGTCCAATTTTACCGTACTTATGATTATTGAACTGTGAACCGTTTTCAGCTGACAGAGTACGGATGGCGAGAGATTCTTGTGGGTATTGATAAGGATATGGATGGGTAATGTATGACAATTAAGGAAAATAGTATTTTAAAATTAGCATTTCTATAGAGAGGATCAGCGTTTTTGTAAGATAAAGAAATCATTCTCTTCCGTTATCTTTTCGTGAGAGACTTTTCTCTAATTACAGACAAGATCGCTTGAAATTTTTCTCGCCCCAAACCCCACTCCAGCTACGGTGTTTATACCCGAAGATGCACAGGCCGATTTCCTCGAGGTTCGACCTCAAGCTAATGTGATTGCTGAACACATGGCGCAAAACATGCAAAACTACGGAGGATGCTCCCTTCTAGTGGACTATGGTGATTACTCATTTCAAAGAAATACACTTAGGGTATGTAAAACTTAATTTTGACTTAGAGAAACCCCTTATCAACCTCTGTAGTAAAATGTAAAGGAGTAATTATAGAACACCTTCTCACATGTACGTATATACATTTGCATTAAGCATAACACTATGATATAATGTGATAGTTAAACACTGTTGTAATAAAAAAAACATGTCCAGCCGACAAAAAGTAGTGTACGGGAAAAACACCGTCCATGCATTTAGTAGCTAGATACTAAAGGTTGATTTTGTGTCTGGGTTTTCTGTAAGTGTATCAATGTACTACGTTAAGATGTGTTATGCTATTGTTTTTTAATATTAGTGCGTTCATTGAATTACCCAATTTAATTTCGTTAAAGGCATTTAAAAAGCATCAGTTGACGGACCCCCTGAAGGATATTGGTAATGCCGACCTAACATCAAATGTTAACTTCTCACATTTGCAGAAAGTGTTTATGAACTATGGAGGTGTGTAAAAAAGTGTTTATGAACTATGGAGGTGTGTAAAAGTGTTTATGAACTATGGAGGTGTGTAAAAAAGTGTTTATGAACTATGGAGGTGTGTAAAAGTGTTTATGAACTATGGAGGTGTGTAAAAAGTGTTTATGAACTATGGAGGTGTGTAAAAAAGTGTTTATGAACTATGGAGGTGTGTAAAAAAGTGTTTATGAACTATGGAGGTGTGTAAAAGTGTTTATGAACTGTGGAGGTGTGTAAAAGTGTTTATGAAGTATGGAGGTGTGTAAAAGTGTTTATGAAATATGGAGGTGTGTAAAAGAGTGTTTATGAACTTATGGAGGTGTGTAAAAGAGTGTTTATGAACTTATGGAGGTGTGTAAAAGTGTTTATGAACTATGGAGGTGTGTAAAAGAGTATTTATGAACTATGGAGGTGTGTAAAAGTGCTTATGAACTATGGAGGTGTGTAAAAGTGTTTATGAACTATGGAGGTGTGTAAAAGTGTTTATGAACTATGGAGGTGTGTAAAAAAGTGTTTATGAACTATGGAGGTGTGTAAGAGTATTTATGAACTATGGAAGTGTGTTTTCGATGAGTCAATACTTCTGGTCGCAGTCACACGGCTCATTCAAGTATTTTTGTCATTTTTATGCAGTTTCAACATTTGGACCAGTAACACAGCGTCATTTTTTGAAGGAAATGGGAATTGACGTGAGAAAACAGGTTTGAGACGATGGCGTTCATTGAATTGTGACGAGACATAATTTTGGTATTTTTTTTCCGTCTTTTTAGGTACTGCTTAAAAAGGCGACATCAGAACAGTATAGCATGATTAACAAAGTTGACTGACTACCTGAGCTTTTCTTTCAGATGCATCCACAATGAATGCTAGGACAAAACAATAGAATTAAAAGGGTAGTCTTGTCATTAGTTGGTATCAACAGAGCTAATGGGCAATGAGATGTTTAATGAATGTTTTATGCAGTGCGGTGTTTGAAATTAAATGAAGATATGATCTTCGCACTTTGCTGGACAATTTAAGCAATCGTCTCAAAAACCTGAAAAAATCAGGTGACTCAACGGGATTCGAACCCATGACCTCTGTGGTGCCGGTGCAGTGCACTGACCAACTGAGCTATGAAGTCACACAGTGGTGAGCAGGTCAATATTGTTGGGCTCATGTTTTCTTGTGAAAGGAATGTCGTATGAATGTTTTATGCAGTACGGTGTTTGAAATTAAATGAAGATATGATCTTCGTGACAGTCACCTGATTTTTTCAGGTTTCTGAGACGATTGCTTAAATTGTCCAGCAAAGTGCGAAGAGATGTTTAATGGTATTGACTTGCTGTTGTTTGAGGAAGTTACAGATCTCAAATTATCAAAGTAGCTGTTGTCTTTAAACCTTACATGGCGAAAAGTAAGCACCAAAGGATATGTGATTGCTGTGGTGAAATTGAAAAATTCATGATCAGATGACTTGACAAGATCACATATCTGAAATGTATAAAAAATGAATAAAAAAGACTTTAAGTAACATAGAATTTTTCCAACATTGACAATCAGATGTACCTTTGTAATAAGTGCATGTGATGTAGATGGTTGTAGAAGTCCAAGACATAAGATGCAAATAAAATCCCAAGAATTTTCAACATCTTTTTTTATAAATAATCCACTATAGGTATCTTCAACATAATTTACAATTTCCTAATAACCCAAATATCAACGAAAAGAAGAGTAAACACGTTGAACAGAAAAAGAGACTTTGAGCAAATGAAAAACTTTAATAACTACTGCTATTCTTCAATGTATGGAGACACAGATGTACTAAAGATACATACATTATATGGTTTGGCATAAAAAGCAGCAGAAGAGTCCCGTTTTCCGATGTATCTCAGAATACATCGTGCATAACATTGCAACTCCTTCAAATTTTTAACAACCTCTGATAATTTAGAAATTTCTATGGACATGACGAAAGAATAAAACACAACTATTTTTTCATTAAAATTGCTTTGCACGAGAATTTGTCAACTCCATTGCATTGCTCCATTGGTCGATGAAACCATACGAAACTTCATGTAAAGATAAAAATAACAGACAAAATTTCGAATACATTTTGTTATACATTATAAATTCAATATACATATTTACATGAATATAAAACAGTTATTTGAGGGTTAAAATAAAAAAAGACAAAAGGAGTGATGTAGCCAGCCTGCAATGTTTTGGTCATGATGTGAAAATTTCAGAACATTTTCAATATTCATTTATTTAGAAATTTCTTATTTCCACAATGAGTGAATTGTGAAAATAAAAAAATTTAAATGGCAAAACTAGATGAGCAGGCTGCCTATGTCACTGGAGAAAAGCAGCTAAAAACTTTTATTTTCATTACTTTTAACATCATTTTGCCATAGTTCAACTGTTGTTCTACCAGTGTCTTTTACAGAATCACAAATTTTTATTTCTTTTTTTGGTGTTTCCAAAAATGAATCAAAAGTAGTTGATATTTTTCTTTTGGAAAATAAAACATCTTTTAATTTCTGGCTCTCCACATTTGAGTTCATGTTAGCAGCAAATTGAAAACGTTCCAACCTTTCGCTTTTCTCAAAGATTTCCTTAAATTAAAATCAAGAAAATATTTAACAATGTTTATCACCAAAAAAAATAACCATTAAATTTAACTGACATTTGCAATTGTTGATAACTGTTCACTTGCTCTAGTAACCCTTTGTACATACTCTTTAGCACCTGAAAAAATTAATTCCAATGCATATTTTTACAGACAAATCATATTATGACAATGTTATAGAAATGTATATGTTTGTGATATAGTACAAACCCTACCAGCCATGTCTAATTTTATCTCAATATCTTCATATACAAGTTCTTGCTTTTCATTTACAATGCATTCCTATACAAAGAAAACAAAATCACATTTTCTTGAGTTTCAATCACTAATGCATTGTTACAAAAGAAAGGTTGTTTTAACTGGGACTGGGGTATTGAATGGTGTGCATATGGTTAAAGGAAATGCAAGTCAGGCCTCTTTTCCATAACAATCTACGTATGAAGCAGTTAAAATAAAATAATTCTAATTCTTTTTTGAAGGTTGCAATCACAAAAGGATCATTACAGTTACAAAGAAAGTCTACAAAGAAATCTCTGACTTGATCTAAAACTAAAACAATCCTAAACAAAATTATTCTGGACATATCCCTTAGAAAAAGCCAGAAAGAAATCATGCAACAAACACTTTAATGTCCATGTATTATTCAAACAATAACAATCAAAATTTGACCTTACCAAATGTGAAATTTCATCATCGTGTTTCACTTTCATAAATTCCTTGATCATCTTGGGGTATGTTTTGCATTTCTTTATTGTTAAACGAAGAAAGTCTTCACTTTTCAAGCACATATCATTCACTTGCATTGCTCGTTCTTTATCAACTACCTCTGAAAGGTTCATATAACACATTTTAAAAGTAATCACATGTACATCATGCCATGCAATATGGATAAAATACAGGGGCTGGTTGCACGAACCTTGGATAGCATTATCCATTGGATGATAAATTTTTTAAACTTGTAAAATAGGTGTTTATATTTTCGTCACAACATAGAAATTTTGCAATCTTAGAAGTAATATTTCTTTCAGTGATTGCTCAGTTCAAACCTTATATTTTTCCTTTTTATGAATTTTTCAACCATTTAAAAAAATTTGCTATCCATGCTTCATGCAACCTGCCCCAGAAGTACATATCTATATCATAGAAAGATTTGAAAAAGATCACTAGCTGTAAGCATGAAGACTTGTGCTCATTATCACAATTCACAAATGATATTTACGACAATAATCAAACTGTATTACCTTGTTCCACTTTATTGCTTGGACAATTTGATTCGGCAACATTTTCACGAAGAGCAAGTTCGACCGTCCGTTCATAATTCTGTAAATTCGCGAGGATGATTTGCCACAATCAGTTTTCACAATATGTACACATACCAGACTGGAAAGTATGTCTTGCGCAACCTAGATCTAGCTTGCGCAATTTCGGGAGAAATGCGCGTCCTGACGCGCAGATTTTAAAAAATTTCTTGTTTGCCGCGCATTTGTGAAATTTGCCGCGCAGCGCGAGAATTATTGCGCAATATCAGCACATGTGCGCTGCAGCGCTGTTGTTTCCGTTGAAAAAAATTGTTGCCTGTTGAATGTCAATCTTACAAGCTGTTTTGACAGGCAAGTTCCGTTAATTGGTTAGTAAGCCAATAAGCGTTTGATGACTAGAAATATGATATCTGACCAGATTAACTACACATTCTTTGCTTTCGTTTTTCGAGCTTTCTCTTTTTAAGTGACTTCAAGGCAAACCATATCGATTCTTCGGTGTATTCTACGGTGATACGTGATATTTAATTAAACCAACTTGGGGTGTTCAAATTTGTAAGGTGAGTACACGTAATGGTTTAGTAAAATCAAAAGTACTGATACAAAATTACAAATGATAAAAATTCTGAAAGCATTAACGCTTCTAACACTAAACGCCCGGGAAACAAGTTATTATTTAACAGTTATGTTTTTTGTGTAACCTAAAAGTAGTGGTACGAAAGGATTTCTTGTATTACAAACTACAAAGCATGTTTTAATACATTTAAGGCAAATAAAATTCACAATCCTTACATAAAACATATTGATAAATGAAGCAATTTATAATTAAAACCGGTTTGCTAACGAACTAACAGGGCTTAGCTCGCTATTGTTTGGTGATAAAGCGAGATTTTTTGACAAACTTTTTTATCTAATTGTTTATTTATTTTTACTAGATGGCTGAGATTCAAGCAGTTAAATCAGGTAAATTCACGCGTTACAATAGCCGAAAATTTTCCTAACAACAATATACACAATATATATCAGCCATTGGTTGATTGCAGGAGCTGATTCGGTGATTCCTCGACAATATTCACTTCTCACTAAGAGTACCAAACCAACATTTGTGTGTTGCTAAAAACTAGTGCTGCTTGCCTTTGATACCAAAAAAACGTTCATTACATTATCTTAACTTATGTTTTCATTGTTGTTGCCTAATTACTAGTTTGCGTTTCATGCAAGAAGGAATGTGGAAGCCATTTTTGCAAAGTTTGCAAAAACGTGCCACGCAATTCCGCCTTGCTCAACATCAGCAGGTGATGATGAAGGTTTTGGTGCCCAGGTCTTGTGTAGTGGCTGTGCAAAACTGAGACAGCAGCAGTGGCTAAAATAAGCAGCAAACACTGTCTAAGGAAGGTAACAGAACAATTATCTAGTGTTAGAATGTTAGTCGTGTGTAAGAGTGATCGTGTTTGCGTCACAAAGAAAAGTGGCATGACATTGTCAGTGGGTTTTATAAAAACAATAGTAAACAACCAAGATTGGCTATCGACACATTTGTAACCATAAAAATTGTGTGTTATAGAGTTTCAGTTTGCCAACATGTTTAAAAGACATAGCAAGCAGCAGAAAACAGGACCAGAAGCAAAGCGAGCAAAGAGTGGACACGAGAAAACCCCAATGGGCTTTTGCTTACTTTGTTTTAGGCAAGGCAAACGCAAATTTTGGCTTGCTAGGGAACAAGTCCTCTAGCAGCAAACCATTTAAAACTCACAGCGACAAGGGCGAAAAGACCTTAGCAAATGACGCTATTAGAGAAGATTCCCTCTTGCTAAATCTGCGCTACAGGCGTACAAAATGCTTAAATCGGCTAGGTAAATGAAAATCAAGTTCCCAATTCCCAAATTGAGAACTGCACTTACATTGTGTATGTTTTCTATGTTAATTGTATTTTCAGTACAAGCCAAGTGCAACAAAAGTGTGGTGGCGACGGAATGGGAGAACGGATAGAAATTATGGAAGTCGATGAAAGGTAGCTAAATTGCTCATTCCCTGCGTGAACCATAAAATAACCGAATATCACAAACTGCATACATGTTATATAATACATTTCTTTTACATATACAGTGATAGCTTTTTAAAATTATGAATATTAAATTGTTTCAGAGAGCTTGGTAAGGATACGGCTGGACATGCAACTGACGAACTTTCGTGCAAAATCGTTTCTGGTGTCAGTGAATCTGAAAGTTGGGAGGAAACCGATGAAAAGATGAGAGGTTTGTTAGTGAAATACGGCATTTTTCTTGCATTATAGTATCAGATTTTACGACATTTTGTCACGATATTTTGTGAAATTTATGCCATAGTGGTTGAAAGTGTTGACTTTTAGTTCAAGGCTTCCAATAATTCACTTGTTCGGATAAGTAATTTCTACATTACAAATTTCTTAAGTCGTTTAATATTAACGATGAAATCATTAAGTATTTCAACGTCTTCTGTTGAATTTCTTAGTACATATACTTTTCACACAGTTTGCAAGAAAATTTTAATGTTGGCTTTTAACACTTTCATTGTTACAGCAAAGAGATTGTGAGAGTTAATGCAGTAAGTAAGACGAGTAAGGCTGCCTCTATTTCAAACACCAGCCGTCTTAGCTATCAAAGCTCGCTTGAAGTTTTCTTCCTTCAATTTTATCAAGTGAGCAAGGCGACCTGCCATTTGATGTGGACGAACTTGCGGAAAAATTGCTACTAAGGTGGCACAAAAGTTGAGTGGTAACCCTAAATCAGCCCAATCAACAAGTTCAACAACTACATACAATCCCACATCGAGTACCGCACTTCGATCTTCCAATTTGATTGAGCTTGTGGATGAAGTGGAAGATTTTGAAATACTAAAAGAAGAGAACAGCTGGGTGCTGCAGTGTCGAACGTGTGTCGAATTTTAAACTCTTCCCGTGTTTCCTTTTCGTCATCTTTTAATCGACCTACTGGCAAAGCAGACGGATCTTTGGCATCTGGTTTACATATGTCA